TTGTTCAAAAGCAAACAAAATACAATAAAACAGCTTCAACGATGTAAATATGATGACATTACATGAAGAAACAAAATTTTGACGTTTTCGATCAGAAATGTGCTGAAGAAATATATATATACACCAAACCAAAAAATTTCATAAAATCTTCAAAACATTCATTTTTAAGCCAATTTATGCTATATTAAAAGAAGAGAAATGGAAATACCTTGGTAGGGCTTAATCAAAGAGTGATCCCGTTCGAAATATCCTCGAATTTCGCTAACGGGAACATTTTCAAGGCTGTCGAGACCGTATGTCACGGATAGAAAAGATAATAATAGTGTTAAGATGACTTTCGCAATAGCCATTACCTTTAAAAATCTGATACATTTGATAGCAAAGCGACACATCAAACGCTGACTCGTAACTGTACTACAGTAAACGTGAAGATCGTTAAGTCACTTCAACCGTTGAGTAATTCGTACCAAGCTGGAGTATACAAATATTCATGCAAATATAATAAAAGATAACATTGTTTAGAACGCAATCCTCAACAAGAGTGATGATTGCAAAGATTGAACAAGATGTTCGAAATGTTTCCGTTATAACAGCAAAATCAACCGTACTTGACAGTTTTTCAATATCTTAGTGACGAAGTTTTCCGGGAATTCAGGCAGCCGACGGGAGAGGAGTTACCAGCACAACAAGAGCTGCTGAGGGTCAACGAAACTACGAAAGCAACAAGTAAACAACAGCGTCGCTGTATTTTTTAAATGTAGGAGCATACTGTGATGACATTAGGCATGTCAGAAATGGCGCAGCGGCAACAATACCACTAATGGGAACATACAGTCGTAAACTGGAATATTATCTCACTCGGAGACAAACAGCAAGAACTATTTGATGAGGACGCAAAGTATCGACTCGATACAGCTGGACTCTCCAACGATTCACAAAATGCCCTTCTCTAAAATTCGGAACTTCTACAGGTGGAGGCTGCCCTAAAAGATGTCTTGAACACGACGTGCTGTCAGACCAGTGTTAGTATTCGGTGTAGAACCCAGCCGCAGATGCGACTTTTCAACCTGGAGGAGCAGAGGCTTATTCGGATGTCTGTATTCCGCACCATGTCGAGAAGCGTAATGCAAGTGACTCGTCTCAGAAAGCCCACATATTTGCCCTACGCCTTGTTATTGAGAAATTGTGGGAAAACGCCCATCCGACGCACAAGTGCTTATTTGACTTAGATGAAGCTTATGACAGGGTTCCATGCATCAGTCTGTGAGTATGCCTGCGAATATACTGGTTCGATTTTCAATTGCTACTGGCCATCTAATCACTGTGCACTGGTGAGAGATGCTGTCTCAGAGAAAATGACGTTAGTCGCAAACTTGCAGTATTGGTCTCCAAAGCTGCGCTCTAACCACTTTCCTGTTTGTGTTATACACTGACAGAATAGTCACTCCCAGACAAGGCAATCAGTCTATCAGTGTCAGAGTTCACAAGCACAGATTATTGCCGTTTTGTTTTTCGATCTTGTTTTATGGCGTCTTATGAAATTGGTCTACAGTCTCTAGAAGGAGAAATTCATAACCGAGTGCGATGTGGTCGACATGCGTGTGAACGTATCTGAAACAAAAAGCGTGGTGCCGGATTCGTCATTACTGGTTATGTAAAATGGGGAAGAATAAATCGCTGCCGGATTGGAATAGGTGCTGGCGTTCTGCGTGAAGTGTAGGGACTAACGCAGAGCGAACTTAGCGAGCGAGCAGCGCGAACTGC